CTTGGGGGAGCGGGGCGCCCTGTCTCCTGTGCAGAGTGGTCAGGTAGTTTCTGTATTCAGGGCCACAATCTCCACTCTCACCCATCTCAGAGGGGCTGTGGTTTTGGTAAGCTCCCTCCCCCATTCATTTGTTTGCAGCTTTGAAATGAAAATCCTGTACAGAGTGCTGAGGACATAATGTTAGAAGTAGACAGAACCTGGGAAACCAGAGTTATTCACACACAGGTTCCAGGGCCCATAAGTGACCCTACCATGGACATGCAGCTAGTTGGCAGCAGGGCTGGGGCTGACCCAGGTTGGTGCAATACCTTCGGCCTGGGCTGGGAGCTCGGTTCCCACTGCAGGCTGCTCCAGAGCCCACATCCATTGGCAGGTGCATCTCGTGAAGGTGTCGGCCACAGTGAGTCATGGCATAGCCAACGGGTGACACAGCACAAGTCGCCCCTCCCCACTCCCGCCCCACCGTCTCTTGTGAGCAGAGTTAATCCCCAAGCTGGTGTTTCTTGGCGCCTTCGAGGTGTATTTTAAATTCTGCAAAGTGACCAAAAATATGCTTCATCGTGTTGGGTATGAATGACTGTGGCGGGAGGGTTAGGAAAACAGATTTCGTTCTGAAAGTTGCCTTGCTGCCTCTTTCCAGTCTGCTGAGCCCAGGACTGCAAAGCTGGGTGAGGGACGTTCCACAGGGTGGCCCAGGATGGCAGGTGATTAAACAGGGAAGGACAGACCTAGGAGCTCCATGGGGTTGGGACTGAGCCCTGGCACTGACTTTCGTAACTGTGTGATGGTGCTAGCTAAAGGACAGTGCCCAGCGGGGCGATGCGGCCAGCTAGGGGCCTGTCCAGCAGTGAAGAAGGCGGAACCATGGCTCTAAGCCCAACACCATGGTCCCCTTCCCACTCCCCCAAATCCCTCATCCTTTCAGCCACAGCTCTGCCCAGGGAGCAGTTTTAGGCCTTAGCCAGAAAGGGGAGCATTCCCTTTCCATGGTACTGCCTTTCCGCCACTGAGTAGGCTCTGGAGCAGGGGAAAATTGGCAGAGTTTTGAGCCTTTCAGATTTGGGGGACCTCTACGCTGCCACCAAGCAAGCCAGCCATTCCCAGTCTGTGGGGTTTTCTGGGATTTTAACTCAAAGGCACTCTCTAGAGTGGGTCCTTAGGTGGGCTAAGGGGCCACCAAAGGCACGGTGATGGGGGGACAATAAGCCCTTTTGGTCTGTATGGCCCTGGGCAAGTCACTGTGGCCTCCTGAGAGCCTCTGGGACCATCAGCTAGAGAACTTGTAGGGTTCTTGTCTTCATCTCACAGATAAAGAGACCCAGGGAAGAGAAGTAATCTACCTAAGGTCACTAGTAAATGATGAGGCTCGCACTAAACACAGGTGTGTCTACCCCCTAATACAGTGTTTCCTCTACTGCCCCAGAGCGATGCTCTTAGCTTCTCCAGGACAGAGCTTTCTCATCAGCGTGATGGGAGGCTGAACTCAATGATGGCTAAAGGGCCATCATTGATATTCGTTCATTAGGTCTAGACCATAATTGATATTCGTTCATTAGGTCTAGACCATAATTTCAAAACAAATGGGGCACATTTCATTAGTGGCCAGTGTCCCAAGGGCAAGTATATTTGGGAAATGGTGGGATAAACACAGAGAATTAGGTTTCCTAACTGAGGAACTTTTCAGAGTTTGTAATCTGAGAGTGTACACTGGGAGTCTCCCATGGGGAAGCATAGGCTGCCCTGTCCCCATGTGTACCAGACCACAGAACATCTCGTAAGATGACTACAGCTTTGCAGAACACACTCTGAGAAATACTGGCTCCCCCACGGCTGCCACCTGGGAGCTCAGTCCACCTCCCCTCTGCCCACCTCCCTACACAGGAGTGTCTCCAGGGCTCAGCCTCAGTCTCCTCCCTGCTCACATGGCACACTCTCCCCTGGCAGCCTCTCACCCGTGCTTGGGCTTTCAACAATTATCCACCTCCCTAGGACACCCCAACCTCCATCTCTAGATGTGGCCTCATCTCCAAGCACTAGGTCCACATGCAGTTTCCTGCACACTCCCCCCTAGATATCCCCCAGTGCCTTAAACTCAGCACATCCAAGATTGAACTCATTGTCTTTCCCCTAAACCTGCTCCCACCCAGTATCATTTATCTCTTGACAAATAGCAGTGGCATCCACATTGTCACTGCGCTGGGAACCTGGGAGCCATTTGGGACTCCTTCCTCTCCCTCAACTCCCACCTCTAGGGCCTGTCCATTTTTTCTCTTTAATATCTCCCAGTGTCCCAATTGCTCATGGACTTAGCTCAAACCTCTCCATGTCTCACTTGGACCCTTTTAAAGATGAACACCACCTGTTCCAACATTCCCCTCCAGTCTTTTTCTTTTCTTTTTTTTTCAGTCCCCCAACCAGGGATCGAACCCACAGCCCCTGCAGTGGAAGTGCGGAGTCTTAACCACTGGACTGCCAGGGAAGTCCCCCGTCCAGTCTTTTCTTCATATTTTTTGCCAGTAATTTTCTAAATCACACATGCAACCCTACCACTACCTTGCACAAAACTTTTCCATGGCTCCCCACTGCCTACAGGATTAAAAATATCTAAGTTCCTATCTACGAAACAGAAACAGACTCACAGAGAACAGACTTGTGGTTGCCAAGTGGGGGGGCGCGGTAAGGGAGGGATGGATTGGGAGTTTGGGATTAGCAGATGCAAACTATTATATATAGAATGGATAAACAACAAGGTCCTACTGTATAGCACAGGGAACTATATATTCAATATCCTGTAATAAACCATAATGGAAAAGAAAATGAAAAAGAATATATATATGTATAACTGAAACACTCTGCGGTACAGCAGAAATAAACATGACATTGGAAATCAACTATACTTCAATAAAATTAATTTTTAAAAAATATCTAATTTCCTTAACACGATCTCTGATAACCCTTCATGACCCATGCTAATCTCCAGCCTTAGATCCTACAGCCCATCTCTCAAAATTACACTCGTCTACACTGAAAATTGATCTCCCTGAACTCGCTCATAGTTATACTTCCTGGAGCCCAGAGGAGTGGCAGGAATTGGGGGCAGTTGTCTCTAGTCCCCGCTCTCCCTTCAACACAAAAGCCCTTGTCCTACTAACACATTGATGGTTCAGGACCACGGAGAGCGTCCCCTGGGCAGCCCCCTCCCCCGGCTTTTTAGTCCTGCTCTGCCCATGCTGTCTACCTAGGTCACTCCTCCCATTAGTCCTTCAGAAATCCAGCACAGCCATGACTTCCTCCAGGAAGCCCTCCCTGACCTGCTTGTTTCAATTGTCATTTCCTCCCCTAGGTTACTTGAGTAACCTGTGTATCCCTCCTCCATCACAGCAAACTCGTTGTGCTGACTATGTTTGTACATGAGTCCACCACTCCCCTCCACCGGCCCAACAACAGATCGTGAGCCTTAAGGGCCCATACGCTGTCTGATTCACTTCCGCTGTCCAGGACAGTGGAGGTGCTCAGAGAATGTTTGTGACTGAATGAGTAAATGACATTTAGCAGGTGCTCAGTAAGTGTGTGCTGATTTGCATCATGTATCTGTTGCTCTGCGTGACTCAGAACCAGCCAGATTCCTCTCCGGGCCCTTCTGGTAAAGGCATTTTCTCCCTGATTGACTCCACCCTCCATTAGCTTCCCTGTGCCATTTCCCTCCCACCCTTTGAATACGTTCTCCACAGGGCACCACCCACGGGTAGGGAGAGGACACCTCCTCTCTGCTCCCGCTGTTGCCAAGCTGAGGACTTCTTGGAGCCCCTCCATCCCCCAGCCTGGGCCTGCCTCACGAGTTTTGCTCAGAACGCTTCGTCTCTGCCTCTCTCTCCTGCTCAGAACAGATGCCTCTGAGTCCCCACTAACACAGAAGTTCCTGTTCTGTCTTTCGAACATCCTTAACACTTTCTGAATTACAGACGCTCCGATCTCCTTTGATCATGGACTCAGACTATGAGAAGTGAAGAATCCCTTGAAGGACACTGAGTCCAGCCTCTTCCCTGTCCCGTGAGAGGCTGCATCTGAGAGAAGGCCAGTGGCCTGCCCAGGATCACTGTAATGGACACAGTCGTTGGTTTTTGTGGGTTTGTTTTTTCTGGTCTTGTTTTCTTTCACTGATGTTTTATTTTGATGCTCAATGTCCATTTCCCTTGCTAAGTGACCCTGGTTTCCTGGTCTTAATGGAGCTATACATCAAGGCATGGGCGTAGGATCCAACTGGACTCTCTCAGCCAGGGCTTTAAATCTGATGTCACAGGACACCACTCTAGGCCTTTAATTCACATTCCAGTGCAGATGGCCTCAAAGGTGTATTGGATCAGCATTTTGTTTTTTTTTTTTTTTTGCAGAACAGCCCTTTTCTCAAACTTTTACATGGAACCCAAATATGTAAACAAAAAAATATATTGCTGGGCCAGCCTAGGAAAAAGAATAGGGAGAAAATGTCCCAATAAGATGGCCCTGGAGCCCTGGCTCCTGAATCTCCAATCTTCCCACAGAGCTCACAGTGAGCTCCCGAGGTCTTCAACAAATCCCTTTCTTGCTTAAGATATCAGTCAGTTTCTGTTGCACACCACCCTACAACCTTAACTGATGTGGTCCCACAGAAAGAGCACGTGCAGTCCCATACCTCCCTGTGTCAGATAAGGCTTGGCTCCAACAACCTCTGGTTGCCTCCTGCAGCTGCATTAAACCAGAAGGCTCACAGGCCCACCCAGGCATGGAGGAAAGATAGACTCTTCAGGGAATGAAACAGACTGATGTCTGGTGTTGCAGGGGGACAAGCCAGGACTGGGGTGACCATCTCGACGCACGTGTTTAACCCTTCAAGCCTGAGGTCAGGGTGGAAGAAGAGTTTTCTCATCCAGACCCTATAAACACCTCCTCACGTGCTCACACACCAACACAGAGATGAGCACGCACAGGCACACGCACACTGACCAAGCACACCTGCATACCTGGATGACACCTGGGAGCTGGAATGCAGCGTGTGTCCAGGAAGAGCAATTAACACATGATGTGAGCAGATCAGGTCTGAGGGCCTCGTCCTGCTCAGCAGTGTGCTCCTCCATCAACATTCCCAACAAGTGAGTCCACGGTATCAGGGACTGATCACCCAGCAAGTGCCCTGTTGGCCAGAAAGGTGCGTTCTATTGACCACTCCTCCTGCCTAGCCCGAGTGGCTGGGTTCTCAGAGACCTATACCTGCGACCTCAGCACAGTGAGGTCTGAGTGACCAGCCCCAGAGAGGCAAGGGGTGGGAGCTGAGTACAGCTGGGGTCGGGTTGCTTGCAGAACAGATACTGGTCCCTTCCTCCCAGAGTCTGCCAGCCCGCCCTGCTCCTGCCCCGCCTCCAAACACTTTGGATGATAACATCGTATAAACTCCTGGTGGGGCACTTTGTCTAGCTCAGTCCCAGAAAGCACCACCCTGCCCTGCCTGGCAACCCAAACCCCAGAAAGCACTTGAGTCAGAAAGAACTTCCCTGATTACAGGATTCATGCTCCAGCTCCTCGGCTGGCATCTGAGCCCTCTGGTCCCAGCCAGTCTCTCCCGCTCCCTCTCTCTCCCCCAAAACACACATACCCCCTCCCTTCTGACCACACCACACCTCTCTGTGACTCATCACGTATCTTCTGCCCCATCCCCTGCACCTCGGCCTGTTCTACCCACCAGGGATTCCCTTCCCCACACCTCTGGCTTTTTACCAGCTCCTAGGCTGACTCCTCAACGCTTCTGAGGGATGTAACCCCTTCTTCTGCCCATAGGTGTGCCTCACTTGGCCCAGCCAAGCGTTTCCCTGTTCCTTCTGGGGCTGTGAGGTCCAAGGGCAGGGTCGGAGTCACTGCCCAACACCAAGATGGGCACCCACTGGTACCAACGCATGTTTCTGGAACTGGCATAAATGAGGTTTCTGATCTCTCTCCCCAGCCTGAGGACTCTGAGGTGGGAGAGGTGGGGGTAGCTGCTGACTCTTGGGAAGCGCTTGCCCATCTCCTGGGAGCTGAATCTCACAGGGGTCCTCCCCAGGATTGCAGTGAGGAAGATCCTGAAGCTGGGCTTCTGTGGACCTAGACCCAGCCCGTGAGAAATCACATGAGGTCTAGGTTAGAAAAATCACATTCAACACACCTCTTAAATATAGCTGGGGAGTCCGCAGCTCAGAGAAGACAGGAAGTGGTCGCACAGCCAGTGAATCCCGCACAGACCGACTGCCTCCTTCTCAGAGGAAACTAAGTATGATACTGTGATTTCTAATAAGAAATATATATTTGGTCTTCATCCTGTTTCTGGCACAGAGCTCCTAAAACCCTTGGAGTTTCCTAGGTGATGAGAGCCCTAAAAGTGTCTTTCCTTTGTTAAGGAGGTGACTTTTGGAACTCACCTAAGGATGAGGCTGCTTGCCAGAGAACCAGCCTTGTGATTAGAAGGTTGGAACTTTCAGCTCCCCCACCCCCGCCAACTACCTCCCGGGAGGGGAGAGAGGCTGGAGATTGAGATCAACCAGTGACGGTTTAATCAATCATGCCTAAGTAATGAAGCCTCCGTAAAATCTAAAAGGACTGGGTCCGGAGAGCTTCCGGGCTGGTGAACACATGGACATCTGGGGAGAGTGGTGCTTGGAGACAGTGTGGAAGCTCCACGCCCTTTCCCCATACCCTGTCCTATGCATCTCTTCCATCTGGCTATTTCTGAGCTATACTTTATAATCAACTGGCAATACAGTGAGTAAATGGGTTTCCTAAGTTCTCTCGCACATTAATGGAACCCAAGGAAGGGGTTGTGAGAACCTTGGATTTACAGTTGGTCACAGCCTGGACTTGTGATTGGCATCTGAAGCGTGGCACAGGGGTGACAGGGACAGTCTTTTGCACTACATCCTTACCCTGCGGAATCTGATGCTATCTCTGGGTAGACAGTCTCAGAGTCGAGTTGAATTGTAGGCCCCCAGCGAGAGTCAGAGAATCGCTTGGTGGTGTGGGAACGGACCCCTCTCCCGCACCCACACTGTAACTGGGTGCAGAACCCTTACCATGCAGCCTCATGAATCCTTTCTCTCCTAACTTCAGGGCCGGCTGTTTCAGGAGTGCCAAGCGTCAGATCGTGGGTGGAAGGGGAGGTCACCCTGGTGACAGCTGCTCCTGAGGGGCCGCTGAGACTTGGGGGTGAGCGTGGCAGGCGCGGGCTGAGCGGGAGTGTCCAGCTCCTGGAGCCTGTCCCATCCAACATAAGGGGCAGGGAGGACACCACAGGGGGGCAGGGGGGCGGCAAGCAAGGGTCAGGAGGTGAGTGTGAGTCTGGGTCACTGCTCTGCCCACAGCTGCTGGGAGGCAGGCCCAGCCTGGCACACCGCAAGTGGCGATCAGCAAGTGAACAGTGATTGCCTAGCTGGGCACCAGGGCAGGGGAGACCCGCTTATGCTCATGGCGGAAAGGACATGCCTCCCCACTGCTGCCCGCCTGGAAGCTGTTGATCTCCTGCGGGGCCCACTGTGCCCAGCTGCTCCGAGCCCAGGGGCAAATATGGGGCCCAGCGAGCCGGCCCTCCCCGTGCGGGAGGAGGCCGAGATGCAGAGCAGGGCGCTCCTGCACAGCCATGCCAGCCCCCCAGCGTGGGTCTGCGCAGGCCTGGGCACTCCTCTGGGTGCCTCCTTGGTTCTTGCAGCCACGCTCCCACACCAGCACCGGAGTAGAAACCTCTCTTCAAGACTACTGATTCAGCCCCCACTTCGTTCAGAGGGCGAACGCACGCAGAGGGCTGCCCCTGCAGACTGGGGAACCTGGGTCAGAGCAGGCGGTCCAGGGTGCGGACGCCCAGAGGCCCATGCTGAGCAGCCCTGCATCCTTGGCCCAGACTGCCCACCTCCCCGTCTCCTGCTTCTAATCCCAGCAGAGACACCTTGAGGCTATAAATAACATAGGTCCAAAGGCCTATATCCACGGGCTTTGTACTGGCCACACTTTAATCGGGCTGCCAGCAGCCGGGCTGAGGGGCCCGCGCTGGCGTGGCCTCGTGCTGGGTGCGGGCACAGGCTCAGGCCTCCCAGCGAGGGTGCCGACAGCTCAAATCCCAGCCCAGCCACAGGCGCTGCCAGCCTCTAGCTGGGGGCGAAGACGCGGCAGGTGCCGCTTGGCCAGGGCCCCGGAGCCGCAGTCAAAGGTGGGCAGAGGCACTGATACGGTGGAGGCCGCCCAGAAAGGCGCGAGCAGGGTGGGTGGGACCTCCTCGCTGCAAACCCCTCCTCAGGGGTCCTCTGGGGAGGCACCGGTGCTAGGAAGCAGGCATTGGCTCTCCATGGCCTCGCTGTGCACGTCCTTGCTGTCGGGGATCCCTGTGGGAAGAAATCGCTCAGCCAGCCCCAAAGGAGGCAAAGGCGTTTGGGGACGAGGCCTGGGCACAGCCTGTCATGAAATCCTCTAGCTTCCGTTTTCAAAATAAATTCCAGATCCGACCCGTTCTCCCCACCTTCGATGCCACCACCATGGTCCCAGCCCCGCTGCTCTCCCCTGACGGCTGCAGGGCCTCCTGTGGCGTCTCTGCTTCAACACTAGCCCCCTGCAGTCTGTTCTCAACACAGCAGCGCCAGAGTGGTGCTTTTAGGATGTAAATCAGACACCCTGGGGCTTGTGCACTGGAAACCAGAAAGCAGCTCCCATCTCGCTCTGTGTAAGGCCTCAGTCCCTGCAAAGGCCCCCAAAGCCCCCACGCTCTGGTCCCATTACTGTCACCCTCGTCCCAACCACTGGCCCCCTTGCTCCTGGCTCCAGCCACACTGGCCTCCTTGCCAGTCTTCAAACACAACAGGTCCATTCCTACCTCGGGGCCTTTGCACTAGCTTTTCCCCCTGCCAGGAGCACCTTCCCCCAGATAGCTGCATGACTCAGTCCCCGCGCAGTGCGGACCTCTCTGACCACCCTTTCAAAAACTGCAACCTGCCCCCACCTGTTCCTCTCTCCCCACTTTCCTGCTTTATGTCTCTCCGTAGCACTTATCACCTTGAACATACTCTATCTTCTACTTCTTCTGTTTGTTTCGCTTCATGGGGGCTCGGACTTGGTGTTCACTCCCCAGCATCTGCAACCTTGCCTGGCACATAGCAGGGACGTAATAACTATGGGTGAATGGATGAACAAATAAACTAGCCAGGGGCTCAGCGGGTGGGTGGTGATCCTGCTCCTATAGGGTCAGCCCTGAGCCTGGTATGGGTGCAAGGTGGCAGGGGTACCTGTCTGCCGGGCCTGGGCCTGGGCCTGGTCTCTCTCCAGGTGCAGTGCAGTCAGCAGGAAGCAGCCACCACCCAGGACGATAACGAAGGCGCAGCACAGGAAGCTCTGTTGAAGGCTGAGGAAGCGCTGCAGGTAGGAGTCGGGACGCGCAGCCCGCAGGGCGCTGGAGATCTGCAGAGGAGACAGGCTGGGTCTGTCGGGCCCACCAGACCAGCCTCCAGGCCTTCAAGTGCACTTCCTCCCTCGACCCCTGCCATCCACCCAGCCTTACAAGTCCAGTGAGGTAGGGGCTGCCGGCATCTCCCAGGATGTGGCCCACTGTGATCTGAAGCGCCTCTGCCGTCCCCCGGCACCTGGGTACCACCACGGACTGCAAAACACAGAAGCACCAAGGGAGCTCCCCAAGCGAGGGCAAGGAGTAGGTGCCCCCTCATGCCCCGGCTGGCAGGACCAGCCTGGCAGGGTGACAGGCTGGCCAAGAGAGTGGGATGGCAGGGGGTCGACGAACCCAATGCCTGAAGCCCCACCACTGAGCCATCAGGTCGCCTGGAGGCTCAGGAAGGCTCCCTGGTCCCCTGGGATGGAGCTGCCAGGTCCCTGATGAAGGCCACCCCTCTTGATTCACTGTTAAATCAGGGCGACCAGGCATGGCTGTGACATGTGATGGGGCAGGTGTGTCCCAGCTCAGGGGCCCACAAGGCAGCAGTGTGGGCTGTGGGGTGAAGAGCGGGTGCACAGCTAGGCGCCTGCACGTGTGGGCGCCTGGGCGGAGTGGTGTGGAGGGCTCAGCCCCCATCTCAAGAAGCCCCTCTGGGCAGAGACCGAAGGCAGGCTTGCTAAAAAGGCCCACTTGGGAGGTTAAGAATATGAATTCCAGAGTCAGATTGTCTGGGATCCAATCCCACACCCCCAACTCACTAGCCGTGTGACCTTGGGCAAGTCACTTCACCTTTCTGTGCCTCGGACTCCTCAGCCCCAGATGGGGATAATAATAGTACCTACATAAAGGGTTACTTTCATTATCATTCCCCATCTGATACCTGGAGGACATCAGGCTGAAATCATGCCCTATGATTCTAAGGGGCAGAAAGCTTCCAGGCATTTGAACATGCTGTGCCTTCTGCTTGGCAAGCCTTCCCCTCTCTGGTCCAGCTGGAGCATCCCCATTCGTCCTTCAGGACTGACCTTTGGGTCACCGCCTCTGTGAAGCCTTCCCAGAGTTCAGGTGCCTGCCTTTGGGTCACCGCCTCTGTGAAGCCTTCCCAGAGTTCAGGTGCCTGCCCTGAGCTCCCCCAGCTCGTGCGCACCCCTAACTGAAGGCACATCCCCCTCAGCTGGAAGGTTCATGGTCCTCCTCCCCTTACCCTTACATTGTCCAGCAGCAAAGCTCCTGCCTAAGTTCTCTTGGGGTCCCTGGGGTTCAGCAAGGCACCAGGCACAGAGGGGACTAGCTGAAAGTTTGCCAACTCAATAAGTCAAGTAGAACCATCATGGAGGCTGGTCTCAGGAGAGGCCCTGCCAGAACCCAGGGCTGCAGCGCAGGAGGGGAGGGAGGCAGGAGGTTCAAGTAGAAGCCACACGTCACACAGGCCCAACAGGGCGGCCACAGGGAAACTTCTCACCCCAGGGCCTTAGCCCCAAGGCCTAGCTGTCCATAATCTGAGCCCATCAGAGAATAATAACAATGATAATAATTATTATTATAATAATTAACATTTATTAAATGCTTCCTGTATGCATTTTCTGTATCTCATATACATATATATATACTTATATATCCACTCAACCAACCCATGAGGGAGATACGATTACTAGCCACATGTTACAGATGGGAAACCCTCCACAGAGAGGGTGAGTAACTTGCCCAGGGTCACCCAGCCAGGAAATAGTAGGGCTGAGATTTGATCCCAGGCCTTCTTCTCCAGGGTCTGACCTTTGACCATTCTGCTGTTAGAAGCAAGAAGGAAACTTTCCAGCAATATTTACACATTTTTTATAGAACATTTGGAAAACAGTGAGAAGAACTGAGAGGAGAAGCTCACCCCAAGTCCCGAAAACCGCTAACTGGCAGCGAGAGCAGGGAAGGGAACTCCAGACAGGGGACGGTGGGAGCCAAGGTGTGAAGGCCAGAGCCCGGGGACTGGAGAGAGGGGTTTGTGGGCGGGCAGGGCAGTAAGAGTCACTCTTGAGGGTGACCGGCTGGTCCCGGAGTCACCGGCGCTGAGCCACTCTGTCCAGGTGGTGAGAGAGGCCGGGCCTCCCACCCATCACCTAGACCTGCCAACAAGCCTGAGAAGGAACTGACCACAGCTTTGCACCTTCCCCAAGTGCTTCCTTCTCACCCCATAATTATGTGATTACTCACTGGTGGTTCTGGGCAGAAGGGCAGGGCCTCCTAGAAGATGGACTCTGAGTGTCCAAAAAAGTCCGTGCAGGGGCTGGTTGGACCCTCCCTTCCTCCCCTCCCAGGAACTCCAACCTGCGGGACCTGGACCAGCCCCTGATGCCAGTGGCGGGAGAGGTAGGTCTCCCCCTGCCTGTCTGGGTCCCCAGGGTCTCCACGTAGCCAAGGGTCAAGGCTGGGCCCCACCAGCAGCTAGAGAGCCCAGCAGGTAATTTTAGAAGTTCAGAGGCTTTTGGGTTCCCAAAACCCCGGGCACACTCTATTCCGAGATAAAAACCCCTCTGTTTTTGACTCGCCCTCTTAGAAGAGCTGTTCCCTTTATATCCAGGGGCATAACCAGCGCCAATCCAGGGCGCGCATCAAGGGAGTGCAGAAAGTCGGTTACTGGTTACTGCACCAGTCACCAGGTGCAGACTCCCTGGCAGCCTGCCTCACGTTCCCCACTCAGCCCTCCCACCCAGACACCCCTGGGAGGGTGAGACAGACAAGTGAGCAGACGGCTACCTAGGGGCAGCAGGCAGAGCAGGGAAGCATGGAGACCAGGAGGGTGATGAGCCCCCAGCAGGAGGGGGTGGCGATGTGCTGAGGAGGTGGGAGGTGAGCCTGGTGGCGGATTTCCAGCACCCTGGAGGACAGACCTGGAGCGAGTCCCCCTTCTACCCTACTCCCCACGGTTGGCGGTGGGTAAGCTGGAGCGGGGCCCAGACAGACAGGAGGGTGTGGAGGGAGCCAGAGACCCCATCAGTAGGTCTGGGGAAGCAGGGAGTTCATCTGGGGAGACACACTCTCCAGCCTTCCAGGAAGCGAGGCGCTCCGAGGCCCCGCCGGGCAGAGGGAGGTTGCCGGAGGTGGGTCTGAAGTGGGTCTTGGCTGTGACGAGCCAAGGTCCTTTTTACTAACTCACCCACCGGGAGGTAGGGGCTTCCCAGCGTGCAAAGAGTGAGCTCCCCGTCAGAGAGTAGGTGAACAAGAGGATGGACTGCACTAGTCAGAATGTCGCAGAGGGTTTACGAGCTGGGGAGCTGGCTACACTAGACAAGTGTTTTCCAGTGCGTTCTGAGGAACGGCTCTACCGGGATCACGCAGGACATTCGACAGCAATGCAGATCCCTCGACCCAACACAGACCCAACTGAATCAGACCCTGAAGACAGAGGGCCTGGAAGCTGAATCTGTAACAAGCTCCCCCAAACCTGATTCTTAGGCTCGGTGAAGTTTGGGAACCACTGAAGAGGCCCTGAGGTCTCTTCCCCAGGGAGAATCTGGATTCTCCTCCTTGTGGATAAGCAGATCAAAGAGAGCCGTGTCCCTGAGGCAGGACTGACATGGGGCCATGGAGCCCACAGCAACCCCGCAGGAACGTGCGTGATACAGGCTTAGCTCACTCTGCCCGCGTAGCCTGGGCGTAACTGGTAGGTAGGTACCACCTTTCTGCACACTTGAGCAAACCAAGGCCAGCCAGAGAGGTGCAGGACTGGGAGTGGAAGCAGGTGGACTGTTCCAGAATCCTGGCTCCTGGGCTCTGCTGCCCTCTCACCTTCTGTGCTTCAGGAGCGAGGGCAGCCAGCAGGGACCTCCCTGCACTTCCTGCCACACCAGTGTCGCCACACTTCCTGCCCCTGCCTTGCTGCACGCTACTTCCTCCCCAGCCCCATCCCACCCCCTGCTGGCCTCTCTCCACCCATCTCCCCTCTGGGCCCCTGGAGCCTGCTCCTGCCTCACCTCTAGAAAAGCAACCCCAGCTACCTATGACCTGCCAACTCCAGCTACCACCCTCTCTCTCCTCTCCCCTGCGCAGCTTCTTACTCTCCAGGTCATGTCACCTCCCACCCTTCCTCACCCTGCCCCCAGCTGCCATCTGTCTGCCCTCCACCCCACAGCTGGGAGCCCCCCGCTGCCGGACACCACTCCCCCCTGGAGCCTTCCCCCTCTCTCTGTCAGGGGACTGAGCTCCAAGAACCGCAGGGACTGGTCCAGCTCCGGCCACCAAAGTGTCACAAGGCTGTCCTCCACTGAGGGGCTTTGGGAAGGTGGGGAGGCAGGGGAAGGGGGGCTAGAAGCCTTCCTGGGATGACAGGCCCCACTAAGCTTTAGGGGCTGGAGGCCTCCAAGCCAGGGGAGGACCGTGGGGAACACTAAGTAGGCTGGATCACGTCCAGCCCGGCCCCCTGGGCAGTGCCAGCCAGCTCCCCAGCAGACCCAGATGGCTCAGACTATGGCTGACTGGCCCCCTCACCCCTCCTCGCCTGTCCCCAGCCCACACACAGCTCTACAAAAAGCCTGGCTCTGCCAGGTTAATCATTCCTGCAAACACAGACACGGTGGTGGTGGGGGAGCACACACAGGCGCAGTCTTCACATATCTGCAGGGCTGCCGTGTGCAGCAGGGAGCAGGCGGGGGGAGGGGGGGACGTGGAGGAAGCTGCAGGGGGCAGGATTCAGAGGACAAGTGGGCAGCCCCACTCAAGACAACGTTTGCCTGGGACTTCCCTAGCGGTTCCACACTTCCAATGCAGGGGACACGGGTTCAATCCCTGGTCGGGGAAGTAAGGTGCCACATGCTGTACAGCTTGGCCCAAAAATAAAGGATTTGCCAGCACGATTCCACATACAGAGGGCTTTCCTTCAGGCTATCTTGCTTACCCCGCCAGGCTGGTTATGATTACCCCCTTTTTTTTTTTGCGGTACGCGGGCCTCTCACTGCTGTGGCCTCTCCCGTTACGGAGCACAGGCTCCGGACGCATAGGCTCAGCGGCCATGGCTCACGGGCCCAGCCGCTCCGCGGCATGTGGGATCTTCCCGAACCCGTGTCCCCTGCATCGGCAGGCGGACTCTCAACCACTGCGCCACCAGGGAAGCCCATGATTACCCCTTTTTATAGACAAGGAAACTGAGGCCCAAGGCCATTCAGCAAGTCTATGGCTGAGTCTGGGATGGAGCCCAAGTCTCCTGCCTGGAAGGAGGAAAAGAGAAGACGCGCCAGCCCTGCAGCTGCACCCAGGAGTCAAAGACAGGACAGCCCTGTCTACATCCACTGAGCCTGGGCCAAGAAGAGGGCCAGAGCATCTAGACAGAGAGTGAGCCTCCCGTCCACAGCAGTATTCAAGCAGGTTTTGTTGGCTAATTAAATGACTACACTTCCCCACAGCCCTTTCAAACTCAGATTCCAGGATGCCAGGATTTCTCTGGGAGATGGAAGATGAGAAAGTAGGAACCACTAACTTGCTGTCAGAATCCCAGCCAGCATTCTCTGTGCCAGGAACAGGGCAAAAGCTTTACATGGATAATCTCATTTCACCCTCACAGTAATCCAGGAGGTATTTTCATCTCCATTTTCCACACAAGGAATCTGAGGCTCGGCGACACAAAGTGACTTGCCTAGGTCACACACAGCTAGTAGGCGGCAGAAGCAGGGCTGAATCCCAGGTCTGTTTCCTGAATCCAGGTTCGTGCCCCTGCACTAGACCCCCTTCAGGACAGCTCTCAGCCGACTGCAAGCTGCTCTGGTTCCCTCATGCCCACCCAGCCGTGGACTACCAGGAGGCAGGAGGAGGGCTCTTGGGGTGTCCCTAGGTCTGGGACCCTGTGTAATCCACAAGGGCACAGCCCTTCAGTGTTCAAAAAGTTTCCCTGCACTTCTCCTAGAAGGAGGCAGGGAGGCTGGACGGAGAGTGTGAGGCTCAGGGAGGGTCTTGCTAGACTCTGGACCTAGCAGTCATGGGGTCAGGATAGCATCAGCCCTCATTATAGCCTGAGCTGGCCCCTTGCCTTGCAGCCCATGATATGGGAGCTGGGGTGGCCTGGACCCACCTGGGCTCTGTGGCCCTGAAGTCCAGCATCCCTGTCTGCACACCCAGAGTGGAGGCCAAGGAGCCTGCTTGCTGAGAATTGCAGTCAAGAAAGAGAGAGTCAAAAAGCCCGGGCCCAGGCTTCCCTGGTGGCGCAGTGGTTGAGAGTCCGCCGCCCGATGCGGGGGACACGGGTTTGTGCCCCGGTCCGGGAGGGTCCCGTGTGCCGTGGAGCAGCTGGGCCCGTGAGCCATGGCCGCTGGGCCTGCGCGTCTGGAATCTGTGCTCCGCGGCGGGAGAGGCCACAGCAGTGAGAAGCCCGTGTATCGCAAAAAAAAGAAAACCCGGGCCACAGTCTTGGCTCAGAGCCTCTGCAGGCTGTGTGACCTTGGTTCAGGCACCTGCCCTCTCTGAGCCTCCATTTGCTCATCTACAAAATGGGAGTGATGGTCAAAGGATATGTCTGAGACTGTCAGGGAGGCCCCTGGTCCAAGGTGACTGTTCATTGACCTTGGTCCCCTACCCCATGGTCTCTGAAGCGCCTCCTGGCCTCTAGGCCACTCAACAGCAGAAGTCCAGCTCTGAGCAGGACAGACTCCAGCTGCCCCTGCTCGAGAGGCCCCAGGACCAGCCCTCCGTTCCGACTCTCACACCTACCAGCAGGATGTCAGCAACCACGGCCCAGTTGCAGGACAGGAGCAGCTCCCCGAGGGCCAGGAACACCTGTGAACAAAGGGTGGCCAGGATGAGGCTCCCTGGATCTCAGTCACCAGCCCCTCCCCGCGCTGTTTCTTCCCACCTGTGGAGAAGGAGACTGAGGCTGCCCAGAGGAAGGACCCATCGAGACTTACTGGGGTGGGTGAGGTTTGCAACTGTTTTCCCAGCTGCGACAGCCTCCAGAGTGGGTGGACATTCCCATCTGGGCAGACTGGCAGCCGTGACCCAGAGAGGAGTGCCAGGGCCCGGGCCTGGGAAGAGCACTCCCCCTGATGGGCGGCCCCCAGGGTCTAGCCACTGAGGTCACCCAGGGAGGCAGCCAGGACTCCCAGGCCACGTTTAAAGGTGCAGAAACAGGCACTTCCCTGGTGGTCCAGTGGGTAAGACTCCGTGCTCCCAATGCAGGGGGCCCGGGTTCAATCCCTGGTCAGGGAACTAGATCCTGCATGTGTGCTGCAATGAAGAGTCCACATGCTGCGACTAACAAGTCCACATGCCGCAACTAAAGACCCCATGTGCCGCAACTAAGACCCGGCACATCCAAAATAAATAAATAATAAATAAATAAATAAATTTATTATTTTAAATAAATAAATAAAGGTGGAGAAACAGAGGAGAAAGGTCCAGGATTTGCCCACCCTCCCCTTTGTTCCCCTAAGGCCTGTGTACACTAAGGAGGTGTCTACTGCATGCCAGCCAGACTGCCCAGTCCAGGCCTCCTATCAACAGCCCCTCCTAGGCCTTCCCCTTCCCAGACCCCGAGAGCAGCACAGGGAGGTGAGCAAGTCTGAGACAGTAAACTGTGCCCGGGTCAGGGCCAGGGCTCATCTGAGGTTGCCAGCTGGCCCAGGGCAAAGCCATCCTGAAACACGAGGCTTCCGGCCCCCGTCCAGTGCCCACCCCCACCCCGGGCACCTGTGGGGCTGGGATAACCTTGTGTGCCCACCCTCCGCCTCGCCATCTGGAGGCCGCTGTGTACCTGTCTCTCCCAGCTCCCTGAACCCCCCACCTCGTGCCAAAGGATTAGGACAATCCTCATTCCACTCACTCAAGAAGAGTTTAATGAAGCGGCAAGAAGGAGGGGGAAAGTCTCATTTCTCAGAGCTTCTAAGGGCTTATTGCTGGAGTGGAATTAGTCATTCCTGGAGTCACGGGGCTGTGCCTGGGGCAGCCCAGGCTCTGGATCCCAAAGGCCTACAAGCACCCAGGACCGCGGAACCAAAGGCCCACTGCCTGCACACTGACTGCGCGCCAGGTGTATCCACTCTTGTCACCCATCCAACTCTCAGCCACCTCATAAGACACGTATTATTACATCCACTCCACACATGAGAAGACTCAGGCCGACGGTCACACATCAAGTCACTTTCTGGTGAGCGCCTCTCCCCTGCGGCAAGGTGAGGGGCAGGAAGCTGTCGGTGAGGTCGGGGGGAGACTCCAAGAGGTCCCAGAGACCATAGTGCTGGGAGAGGCTGGCAAGAGGGAAGTCGGAGGAAAGCCCAGGATGCGGAGGGCTTCCAGGTAGAGGTGGCATTGAGCAGAGCCCTGAAGGATGGGCTGCATCAGCATGGGTCTGGAAGGGCCCTGAGGCCGTGCCAGGCAGAGAACCGTAGTGAGCAGAGGCGAAGAGGCTAGAAGGCACCCACGAGGCCGGGCGGGCAGGAGTGTGGCCCGGGGCTGCGGAGAGACGGCAGGACCCCCTGGGAAGGGGGAGCAGCGGGTGTCTTCTCCCAGTCTCACTAGTCCTTGGCCCTCCACAGACTGGGGAACGCTTGAAGGCAGGGCGGGGCCTCCCTCTGGGCCCGGGGCTGGGCACCCACAGGGGTGGGAATCAGGAAGTGGCCAGCTGGCGAGCCTTAGGCGGGGCCCAGGCAGGCTGCAGACCCGCATTCCAGCCCCACAGGGTCTGCCAACCTGGCCTCCTGGGACCAACGTGAGGGCAGCTCACACCCATCCTTCCCTCGACTCCCACATCCACCAGGACCGCCAGGCCGCTGCCCTCCTCCCACTTCCAGCTCAAAGGCATCCTGCCCTCCACAGCCGGGGGGCCAGCCGCACGGAGCCTGCTCTCTGCGGGTGCTGCGGCCTCCCCGCGGCTGCCCCACACCCCCGGGACATGCTGAGATACATCTTTTCCTTCCTCCAGCTGGAGCAGGGTGGATCCTGACCCCAAAATAGGGCCGATCGGAGGGAGGCTGCAGCCACAACGGGCCCCTTAAGGCTGAACGAGCTGCCTGAGGATGCCAGGTTTCCTCAGACACACCTGGAAACCCACCCCAAGCCACCAAATCCCCGCCTCCACGCAGAGGCTTTGAGGAGCGAAAGGCCCAGCTGGGGAGAGGCCGTCTCCTAATCCCTAATTACAGAGTCTCCTGAGGCGGCTGCCTGGGCTCAAGGAGGGACAGCCCATCAAAGAGGTGTGACCCCCTGGAGGGACACCCCATCAAAGAGGTGTGGCCTGGCCATGTGGGGCCACCCTTGGCGGTCACCACACTCTGGGCCTTGGTTTCCCCAACGCTGCTACGATAGGGTGGCCCAGCGCCCCGGCAGCCCCCTCCACCACCAACAGCTTTTGCTTTTTTTTTTTTTTTTTTTTTTTTTTTTTACAGCTTTTGCTTTTAAAGCTGCAAGATAACTTCAGTTGGTCCCACAGGCTGCGTGCAAATTGGGTCTGAGAAGTCAGCGGCCTCCACAACCAATGCAGACTTGTGTTCCGCAATTAAAAAAACAAAACACACAAGAAGGGCCCTGAAGTTAAGTCACGGTGAAGAATGTAGCCAGCCGACCGTTCAAAGCTCCTCCCACACGGGCCCCTCAGCCCCCTGGACGCCCTCTTCTGCACGGCCACAGGCCCCTCACACTGACTAGGTCCCCAAACCTGCTCTCTCCTCCTGTCCCCCCATGTTACTGTCCTCGCCCAGGGTGCCTGAGGTAGCCAGGATACAGGACCCACCCACAGACTGGCCACCAGCAAGCTGCCCAAGCGGTCAGACACGGAAAGGGGGAGGCGGGGGGCTCCTACGTGCCTTGCTCGCCTTCGCACCCCTCCAGACACCGATTCCTGTCCATTCTGCATCCTAAATGTCCCTCAGATCTGCCCCCTCCTCCCGGCCACTGCTGCTGGCCTGGTCCAGGCCTCCCCCGTCCCTCCGCCTCACCAGTTTCCCAGGCCCCACCATCCCTCCCGACAGCAGCCCCGGAGGGGACTTCCAAAAGGGAAATGGGAAATCTGCCCTTGTCCCCTTCGTGCCTGTTCATGGTTCCCTGCACCCTGACTCCGTCTCCCTGGGTGATAGGGCCTGGGAATACTGCCTGAGAAGCGTGGAGCCCCTCAACCCCTGGCCTTTCCATTTCAGACTCAAGAGGATTTCCCCCTCCAGTGGGGGCAGCGATGATGCATATTTCTGGCCTTAGTCACCCCCGGCCAGAGAGGCGTACACACACACACACACACACACACACACACTCTGACACATGCACTCACATAACACACAACCACACAAGCATGCACAGACACGTGCATCCTCAAGACACACACACACACACACACACACACAAGAGCTCCAAGACCCATGCACGCATACCTAGACCCATAACCTGGGACACATACGCAAAACTCACACACCACAAAGACACATACATAAGCAGGTAACAGGGATGACATTCTAAGTATTAAAATATGTGTGGCAAGAGTACCAACCAACCAGACGGCGGCTGGAAAACAGCCCAGCATGTACCTGTGCATGCCTGTGGTCTTATAATGTAGACAGCAAGCTGTGCACAATCACACGGGCACACACACACGTACACATGTACACAAACACGCTCTTACTTTTGCACTCATGTGCATACCTGCACTCGGACATGCACACACTCATACCTTCACACACAAAGACACCCTCCTCACGTACACCTGCACGCACAGGTAGGCATGGGCAGGGAGCAGGGTGGAAGCTGGAGCACCCGCCCCAGAGGAGGCTCAGCCCCTGTGGAGTGGAAGGGACAGTGTCTTCACTTTGGTCCATCTCAGTCTGACAACTGGGCAGTAACTGATCTCTGAACTGCAAAGAATCGATTCTAGGTGCCCCCAGGTAGGGAGAAAGCAAATGTCTCCCATGGGCTTGTGGAGACTCAGGCAGAGGTAAGGCCAATCCTCCACTTGCACAGGTCAACTCCTCACCCAGTGTGGTTGAGCCAGTCAGGATGCAGGTCCCCGGCACAGACTGGCCACCAGCAAGCTGCTGGGCCGGCTGGCACACTTTTTCCCTGGGTCTGCCAACCTGTAATTGCAGGGACTGTCTTTAGGGCACAAGGGTACCGCCCAGCTCCCATGGGCCAGCAAAGGCCCAGCAGCCTGGCAGACAGGCAGATGGGGAATGAGCTCCAGTCCTCCTGGAGAACCCAGCTGATACTGCAGGCTCTGCTGCCCATCCAAGAAGAGACACCTGCTAGATCCTGGCAGGGAAGTGGGGTCCTCAGAGGAAGGGTAGGTGGGCCTCTCTCAGCCCCTCATAGGCAGCCTCTGGCAAGGCTCAGTTACTCCAGCCCAAGACACAAGAGCAAAAGGACTGGGACTTCCCTGGTGGTCCAGTGGCTAAGACTCCTTGCTCCCAAAGCAGGGGGCCTGGGTTCGATCCTTTGTCAAGGAACTAGATCCCATATGCCGCAACTAAGAGTTTGCGTGCCACAACTAAAGATCCCACGGCAACTAAGACCTAAATAAATAAATAGGCTTGTCCAAAAAACCCGCAAGGGCCAAGTGGTAGGAGAGATCCCCCAAGCTGGGGCAGCTGCACGGCCCAGCTGTCTGGGCCACCAAGGGGTGAGAGCAGGTCCCATAGCCAACCCTGGAATCCTTAGCTGACCCGGACCACAGCTACAATGGACACACATCCTGACTGCTCCCTGCCAACCATCACGCAAGACTCCCTTGTGGGCACCGGGCTCAGCAAATACTGGGCCTCCATCTTTGGTCCTTGCTCAGGAATCGCCAAGGCTAAGAAGGG